TTTTTCTTAATAGAGGATTGCATATGGTCAACTATGATTTTTAGTACTGGCCTCTTTTTCAATTGTTTCAACATTTACTACCAATCTTTTTACAGTGTTCTCATGCTGCATTTGCCATTTTGTGAAAAAAAATAGTATTGTTATCTCCGTCTTTCAGCCACAAGAACTTTGATCTTTGTCTCTACTTCATCTCCTCTAGATTAGTAAAGCTTATCTACACCCAGATTGTCTTATAAATTAGGTTCCTTTGGAACCTCCCCCCAGAATGTTTGATCTGTATTTGCCCCTTGCCTAGCTAAGCCAACATCCATGCTGTTTGCACTCCTAGGCACTCGTTGCAATGTAATCATTATTATCAGCAACCAGCTTTCTAACTTCTCTTAACACATCTGTATATTCATGTTCCTTGAGTGTTGTGCTTCAGCCATCCCACTACTATGGAATATCCCTTCACTGTTATATTTTTCTATTGGAGTCTTGCCCAACCTCAGCCCATGTAGTGCTGCCAACAATTGTGCTCTTGGTGAGTCTCCATATCCAATTGGACCTCTGAATAGAGAGCAATTATAGCCCTATTCTCTGGTTTTCCAAAGATGCAACCATCAAAATTCATTTTAACCTTTTGAGTTGGGTGGCAGCTAATATATCCTTGTTCTAGCTTTAACATAAGATGATGAGCTGGGCTAAATTGGGTAATTTATATTTTAATGCCTGCCATCAGTTTGCCACAGATTTACTGCACAGTAAATTTTAGGGTTTCCAAGGAAAGAAGCTTGTTAGTGTGGATGAGGTTTAGCTAGCTAGCTACTCAAAATGATAAAGGAAAATTTTTGATCTGCTGCTTATTATGGTTTTTTGGAATTCTGGTTGATTCTCTACAGAAAGCTCACGGCCAAAACAATGTACTTTTTGATCATATGAATCAGATTCTGTTGCATAGACATTTTACCATGGCTAGGCACTTTACATAATAAACACATATGATATGTGCTTACTACCAAGTATAATATTCCCAATATGAAAACAATGCCATACTTTTTTTTGTCTGCAGACAGCTTTTAGAGAGAAGGCAAAACAGTACCACCCAGATCAAAACCAAGATAATAAAGGTAAGCATTGAGTCACCATTGTCTGAATTATTTTAATAATTCGCTGTGGAATTGGATTCACTAGACTAGCTTTCATTGTTCTTTTCATCTACTTTGTTCAATTGGAATTGGGAACTTGATTCATTTCATTGCAGAGGCTGCTGAGGCAAAGTTTAAAGAGGTGTTGACGTCATATGAGGCCATAAAATTAGAAAGGAAGCAAGGCAAGTTGTGAACAACCAAAAACTATCAAAGGGATTTTGTTACTTGAACGACAATTACGCAGGCAGAAAAATTGTCGATGTACACCTTGCACTAATGGCAGTACATTTTCAAGGTGAAAGTTGATTCATCTTCGGCATATTCTTTGTGGACATTTTCAGAATTGGAGAGATGAAAATTGCATCTTGCGAGCAATCTGATCTCAATGGACCAACACTGAGTTTACCATACGGAATGGACTTTTGTGTATCTTTACAATTGCTTCTCTGGTGTATGAGCAATCTTTGTAACTTATAGTTTAACCTGATCCAAATAAATATAAAATTATCATTCCTGTCTCTCGTGCACGCATGCACTCACACCAAGTAATAGATATAACACCCTCTGACAGGAATGCACAGAAGCAGGCAGATCGGTGAATAGAAATTAGAAAATCAACTTGCAATGAACAAGACGGTAAGTTGAAAACCCCTAGGCCTATATGCAAGAAACCCCCAATGACACACACACACTGAAGGAAATTGTGAATTTTCCTCTGTTCAGTATGCTAAAACGAATAAGAATGAACCTAAAGAAACAAATGTTTAAAAATACAGAATACTCGGTCTCTTCTGTTTTAATAAAAGCTATGCTTTCTGTTGCTGATAAAAAAATACAGAATACTCGACTCGGTCCAGGCGTCCAGCCAAGGTAGATAGAAATCCTACCTTTGGCCCCTAAATGAGTCAATACCACCTTTTTGTGGATATGGCAAAGTTGGCCCAGTACCAGTGAATTTACTCTAATTCTTAAAGTAGTCATTGTGTCCAATTGAATAAATCCCAGGTGTCATCTCCACAGGGGCTATCCTCCTTTTAAATGGATATGCTGTTCCTCTAACTCACCCCAGACAACTTCCACCTCCAGAGCTACCATTGGATCCCGTGTTCTTATGACCATGCCAATGGTTGACAGAGCTGGATTGGAGAGATCACCTGCAACAAGGAGGGGCCCTTCTCAGCCACTTCTTACCTTCTGATTTAAGCAACATTGGACCAATCTGCTGATTCAAATTGCAATGTTGACTCGCCCTTGACCCCGACCCCACCGACATCTATGAGCCATTCTCTTCCATCCTTTGTCTTAAGCCTTTTCCTTCAAATCCCTCTCACTTCATCGTTTATACATCTTGAATAGCATCTGTCAGCAGCCATCTTCCTCACTTTCTCTGTGATCTCTGCCGCAATCTGTCTGTTGTACAGTTTCCTAAGACCACGCATTAGTTTTGCAAAGGTATCTGGTTGTGGCATGACACCTACTTCCAGCATGTCCAAGCAGTAAAAACAAGCTTATTTTCACAAACCCATTCGAGAAAAACGCATGACGGCATGAATCCAGATGGGTGCTTTCAGCCATGTCATTCCAAGCTTGAACACACCTAAGCACCATCTCTCACCTCCCTTAACTTACAGGTTTTGTAGATGCTGAGGTCAGGAATGCAATCATACTCTTCCAGTTCTTCTCAGGGGCCTAAAATGTGTAAATACGTCATCGAATTTGGAGTGCAACTTTGCTAGATCATACTATCTAGAAGTTCATAACTCTTGTTAATCTTCCCCTACTTGCAGAATCCGCTTATCAGGGTTGTGTAGGTCACTACATCTGCAACACAACTGTTTCTCTGCATCTCAACAAAAACTCGCATTGCTTCCTCCATTTTTTCCTCGGAACAGACAACAGAGTGCTTGAATTAGAATTGTATACGACGTTGAGAAAACACCCGAACAGAGTGCTTGAACCAGGATGTATTTGGCCTCCATCAGCTTCCCTTCTCTATCTCAACGAAGTAAAATGCTCGAGGGTCGGTGTAAACCGTATTCGCATATCCTCAAACAGCGAAGCAGCTTCTTTGACACTGCCATAATGCCATTCTTGCACAGGGCGTCGAGCAGACATTGCCATTCTGCACCCAGGTTGCTTGGTTATTAATAGCATCAGCTACAGTACTTAATCCAGTAACTTAATTACTCCAATAGTCAACAACCACAACAAGCTAACAAACTGTCATGGATGGTTAACCCTATTATTCAGCACCATATATATATAGGAAATCAAAACAAATTATTTGATGCCTTGAGCCGGCAAAAGTAATTTTGTTGAATACTATTACCATGAACGACAAAGGTTAACATGTAAGTGCAGCGTTCTTAGGCGGCTTCTTATGGTAGATATTGCACATGCCTTGAACACCAATGCAAGAGGAACATTATGTGAGGCATACTCGTAGAATCATATTGCCCATGAAACAAATAAATAAATCATTCTTTGGCAAAACAGTAAGTAGATGATTAATGTTAAATACACCAATTTTATTTAATAAAAATAAGGGAAAAGCGGGTATTCAACAATAATAAGGAAGCCCTAATATGGTCCAAAAAGTGCTTAGACTTTGAGCACTTCCACTTTCCTTTAGGTCTCTCCTGATACTTGTGAATTCCATTTCCTCTGAATCAACAGCTCAGCCAATTAGAACTCTATTTTACATATACGAACAGGCACTAATGAACCAACTAGTAGAAATTTGTCCCTTTTCTTCCTTTCATTTTGTTTACGTGTTTGTGGTTGTGGGTGGATATGCAAGGATAAGTGGTTATCAAGTCAGAAGGTTGGATGGATTAGACAGACCAACAAGACATATTGAATTAGATCAATCCGGTCCAAAATATTTATTAGATTGGATTAGACCTGGTCCGTCCATAAGAAATTTATATTAGATTGGGTTAGATTAAGTCAATATGTGATCCATCCAATAAAATAAAAATATATCAATGGACTGGATTTGGATTGAAACCAATTTAAATTAAAACGAATTGGAACAAATGGACGGTCCAAACATTGAATTGGACCAATCCAAAATGATCCAAAATATTCATTAGATTGGATTAGACCTGATCATTTGTAATGGACTCACATTAAACTGGATCAGAGTGGACCAAAACCAGTCCAATTGACACCACTTGGGATAATGTAAAAGGGACTATATCCCAGGTCCGGGTTTGAACTTCTTTCCCAACTTCACCAACTAAGCACAAATTAAAAAACAATAAAAAGATGAAAACCACTGTATTATGAATTGGCTTGAGCCTGTGCTTTCCAGATGAATTACTAAAACAAGTGCTTTTTTGGACAAAATATACAAAACCAAATAAAAGAGTACAAATAATTAATAAAGTTAGTTTATTTATGATATACAATATTACTAAAACAAGTGCTTTTTTGGACAAAATATACAAAACCAAATAAAAGAGTACAAATAATTAATAAAGTTAGTTTATTTATGATATACAATATAAAAGTTAGTTCTAATTCATTTTATTAATATTATATATAATATTTTGATAATCTAATTTAATTATTTAATGGTGTACAAGTACAATATCCAAATCCAACTTGAGTCTGATCTAAACTCAACAGAAGTGATACAGTCAATCAGAACGGAAAGGTGTATCCCATTCGACTCTAATCTGTTCGTAGCTCTAACAAGTAACAATAGACATTAATCAGAATCTGTTCGTAGCTCCAACAAGTAACAATAGACATTAATCAGAATGGAAAGGTGAAACAAGATTCTGTGAAAACACAAGTTTCCAATAATAATGCATTGAAAATCATTAACTTCATATTCTTCTGTTATTTTTGGTAATGGGCCAGTAACCAAACAATAAAATAACTATATTAATAAAAAGTAACAACAACAATAAACTAAACCTCAATTTAGCTTGCCTATAAGAACCCTGGAGCAAGAGCTCAGATTAGATCATAACTGGTTGCAGGCAATGGATTTAGGTTTTGTAATATTTTTTCCATACATATACCTAAAACCCAAAATTATAGTTCTTGGGTCCGAAATGGGATGACAACAGTAATCCGACTATAGCCATAAATAACTAGTTAAAATTCCTAATGTTGATTTCAAATACATTAAGATTAGGATACAGTGGGGAATTCTCATTTACACTAGATATTTCTAATTTTACATTATGTAAATGGTAAGCATGGAGCATGGCTTCAACATACGACACTAAATCTGTGAGAACCACTAGTATTCAAGAGATCTATATATGACTCAGCTCAAAGTTAACAACACCCTAGAATTGTTCTATACTCTTAATAATCTCTGCTTTGCATGTTGTCTTATAATGTCCGGTTTGGTTACACCGACTACAATGCACAGTATGCTTCTCCCGATTAAGGTCCTCTACACAAAGTCGCTTCTTTTCAGGTCGTCCTGGAGGGCGTCGAAACTTGGGTGGCCGCACAACTCTATTGTCTTCATCTGTAGAACCCTCACTTATCTTATTATTCCATTCACCTTTATCAGGAATGGGATGTATCATTTGTGAATATGTTTCACGGTAATTAGCAACTGTAAAGCACTTCTCTGAAAATTCATACACATCTTTTTTACATGAGATGAGTGCTGCAACAGCGTGGGAGCATGGCAAGCCATATAGTTGCCAATCGCGACAAGAACAACGTCGGGTCCCAATATTCACAATGTCTGATCGTTCAGCAGATATTACTTCAAATTCTACTTCATCTGATCGAAGGACCTGGTAGCCAGATGCATTATTAATTGCTTCTGCCATGCGTTTCTCAGCAGATGGTGCAAGTACCGACATCCAAGACATGCCTCTGGCACGCCGTTCATCAAACTCAGCCATCAGTTTACTGTGAATTCGCTCAATCACTTGGATTATGGGTAACTCTCGCGCTTCAAGAATCCATCTGTTGAACTCCTCAATATTTGATGAGAGATGACCGAACCTTGTTCCTTCAAAGTATGCTAGTGCCCAACGGGAAGCTGGAATTTGGTTAACCCACTTGGCAGCTTCTGCAGAAACCTCTTCAATTTCAGCCATTTTTTCTTTAAACCCAATAGTGGTAATCGAATAGGCAGATTTCCATAGAAGATTGACAAGCCTAGAATTCTTGAATTCTCTTCCAATGCTTTCACTTAAATGGCGCATGCAATATCCATGAGATGCACTTGGGAATTTCCTTCTCACTGCATCTATGATACTTTTTTGTCCATTTGATAAGAATGTAAGCTGAGGTATGGTCTCAGTGTTCAACTCTAAAAGCTTATGCAATTCCGACAAAAACCACATCCAGCTCTCATCATTTTCGACATCAACAACACCAAAAGCAAGTGGAAACAACCCACCATCAGCATCAAATGATGTTGCTGAAAGTAAGGTGCCAAGGTACTTGCTTTTCAGCTGGATTCCACCAAGCCCAATAAGGGGTAAGCAACCATTCACAAAACCATAGATGGATGCATAGAAGGAAACAAAGAGGCGTTGAAATCGATTATCAGCTCCTGTAGTGAAAACCTGTGCAATACTTCCAGGATTAGTTTTCATTATTTGCTCACAATATGCAGGAAGGAGGCAATAACCTTCCTCGGAAGATCCATAAATTGCTGCAAGCCCCCGTTCCTTGGCCCGCCAAGCTTGTTTGTATGGAATGGTGATCCCATATTGTTTGTGGATGTCTTGCAATATATCTTTCGGCTTGTAATTCATGTTATCCCGCAGTCGCTCCTCTATAAAATTCACAATCCAATCTACAGATGCCTGGTGATGGCCATGCTGTGCATTTTTGCCACAAGTATGTGTCCCTTCAAGGCTCCTTATTGTAAATGTTGGGACATTAGGAAGTTTAACTGCACGGATGCGCCATGGACAACCTTCAGTTGCACACTTTGCAAAGTAGCGAATCAAATCACTCTTTATTATCCGAAGCTCAAAATGCTGGGCAATAGCAGCCTCTTTGATTGTTCTCCGGAAAGCCTTGACATCAGAGAATTCTTGACCAACAACAAAGTTATAATCTTCCATATCCAGAAGTACACCAGTTCGAATGTTATGTACTGAACATCTACATAAAAATAATTGAGTGCAACACACTGTGCAAAACTCTGATATACGGCTCTTAAAGAGACCTTCCAAGTTATAATCCAACCCACTGCAAGAAAACCGCTTTTACATCAGCCAGCAGTGCAGCAAAGCATTTACTTGTAAGGAAGAAGCTAGACTTCAGCAAGTAATCATTCATGACACCTAATTATGAATAAATATGCAAGCAATGTATTAATACCCTAAAACCAAGTGGACCACAGTGAGGATAACTTGAGACCCAAAATCAGGTCAATTAAGTATGATTTTTTTTTCCTTCCTTTTCTTCTTTTGTTTTTTTTTTTTTTTTACAATCTTTGGGAAACCAGATAAACACAATAGACAAAAAAAAAAAAAAAGCAACAGGCAAAACATAAAATGGTCTGAGACATCATATAGTCGTATCAATTATTAATTATACATATAATAGTACATAATTGAACTTTATTGCAGTAGCGCTGTTCATCAAAGATGAAAAGCCATCTGTTTTTCCTAAACAAGTAATCATTTTAAAGCATGTGCTTATCCAATCATGGCATGAATCAATCTGGAGCTACAGATATTGTATCTCGGTTCTACTTTAGAGACCGTGTCTCAAGCTCAGCCTTGACCCTAACTATTTGGGTGCCAGCTGACTAAACAGACCCTTATCTGCCATTATGCGGTATCAAGAGCCTATGGGAAACTGTTTTTACAGTTCTGAAAACAAAGATGCCGTTTAAATTTTCCTCAATATCAATTTCTGTAGTTGAAGGAAGAAGACTTTGGTTCCTTACGGCAAAAAATGACTTTGGTTCTTCCATAGAATTGGTTGTTAGTAATCTGAACAACTTAACTAACAAAACAACTAATAAAAAAAAAGAAAACTTAATTAACAAAACAGAAATAACTGACATGCCCAAGGGGAGAGAGAAAAAAAAAAAAAAACTAGCAAAAAAGAAAAGCTTGAGAGATCTTGATTTCATAAGGAGACTAATTACTGAAAAAGTTAAAATTAGGTAGTAAAGACAATTAAACATACAACGAAAAAGTTATCTTATTAAAGATTGAAAAAACAGAAATAATGGTAAAAGACCGGTATTTATTTTAGCATATGAGCACCATAGGAATTAAAGCCTGTTTTTTCCTTCCTATTTTCCTTCGAAAATAAGAAGAGAAAAATATGGGAAAGGAAACACCCCCAAAAAAATCCCAAATTATATAAGAGATTTCACAAAAAGAAAAAAAAAGGCCTCTATCTAAGATTAATATATCAAATCTAACAGCAGAGGCAAACCAGAATAAGATAGAAGTGCTTAGACAAGAATTAAAAACCAAAGGAATGAAAAACTCTACATCATCGTTTTCAACTTACCTCGAATACCAGGCCTCGAAGCCCACGATAAGACTATAAGAGTATGCTACACGGGAACAGAAAGCTAGATGAGCTGAAAGGCATATAGATTTAGATCACGAGACGCCATGGAAATCTTCGATTACAGGAAAACAAAGAGATTTTCGCCATGAAAGGACTGAAGAAAACGAAGAAGGAGAGAAAGGGAAAGTCGAAAAAAAGAGAACCCTCTCGGCATTATAACGAAAGATTAGGGTTGATTAGGTCACCATGAGGGCAAGATAGTCATTATAGTAAAATTCAAGGGTAGTTCAGTCAACAAAAAAATTTGAAATAGACTACATAGAGAGGTAATTGTTTGTTTATTGCACCTTGACGATTAACGAATTGGCTGGTCAGATGTTTGATGAGAAGATGGATCCCGTGCTCTCATTTGAGCAGTGGCGTGGTTTACTTTTGAGTGCCATAGCGGCCCCACAAGATGATAGCGACGATGTGATAGTAGGACTAGGATTATTTGTCGAGCAGAGAAAGGAGATTTGGAGGCTTGAGATCAATTTCCGGTGATCATTGCAGCTCAGCCTCAGCTCATCTCAGCGGCCCGGCCTGAAAATTCCGGGTGACTAGGTTATTGCCCCTTATCATAATTTAAAGAACGGCCCATATTCACCACTGAGATGCAAGGACATGTCCACTGAGTAGATTCTTATGATTGTTATGCACAAAGGAAGAGATCGGAGGCTTGAGTCCGAACAGCCGATTCTCTGTGCACTTCGTCAGTATCTACAAGAACGATGAAAGTTGAAAAAACTTTGTTGCCAACCACGTGCTTTAGCCATGAAAATGGGCTCTTAAAGACCATGCGGCAATAATTAATTGGGAGAAGTACCAATCAGTGCAGATCAGAATTTTCTAGGCCCAAAGTACAGGGCGAATGCATCCTGACCGTGAATTGATGTCAATTTCACGGGCAGATGTGGTTTATAGGGGGAGTGGACTAGTTGTAGCGGGGGCTGGAATTCAGAATTCTGCATCGTGTGTATCCCTATTTTTTCGTAATTAGTTCTAGTAATTGTGGGCCTCGATAAATTAGAAAGGAAGAAAAAAAGGAGAAAGCTTTCATTGAATCGATTTCTTTCAATTGGAACGTAAATTATTTGTGGAGTTTGGGATTGATGTTGATTTTTCAGAAATCGGCACTGATGGTGCGCTATCTAGATGTTCCTAGCTGGAGGATGACCTGGAATTTGGCTGTGTGGTGAGCTGGTTCGATCTGCAAAACAATGATGCTCAGAAAATCTGGGGTGGCTAATCCGGCAAGGTCGCCCCAATGCTTACGTTAGTATTGCGAGTTGAAAGTTGAATGTTAAGTGTACTAGTGAGCAAATAATTGCACATACCTGGGCCCTAGAGGGATTGTTGCCTTTATATAACTAAGTTGTTGTGTGTCTCACGAAACTGTCCTGGGATATTCGGCATTAGTGGATGATATCCGTTTCCACTTTAGTTGTTGAGTAGCATATCAGTTAATTACGTGTCACTTCGATTCTGGAGGTTCGAAGTCTGCTAGGGAGCTTTTGGAGTCGATTACTTGTCACTTCGATTCTTGGGCCCCAAACTGGATTAGGTACCGAGGTGACTTTATCCCGAAGTGGCTTTGTGCCGAGGTGACTGAACACCCGAGCTCTAAAAACCATTGACTAGGCTCCTTTTGTTGAGTTGTCATCCTTCGAGTAGATCGCATCCACGTGACCTTTACTTATTAGGTCGTGCCAAATCACTCTTTATCAATTGCCCCACATTCCTTGTGCTGGGGGTCCTGACCTGGCGCGGGGAGTTTATGACGAGCCCAGGTGGATTTGGCACAAAATCTAGGTGATACGGAGGGCAGATCGTTGGTTGGACCTGTTCGATAGTTTGGCTCAACAAGAAGTGACCTAGATTGCGTATCAGGTACGCGCAGATGTCAAGCCGATTATAGCCTCTGCGGACATCAAAATGCGTGCTAAACTGATTTCAACCTCGGTAAGCGCATAATCGATTTTCCTAGGAGCCGTTTGGATCGTGTAGATCTCGGCCATTGATTCCCGGATATACTGGTTATAAATAGGGGCCGAAGGGCCCATTTTCTTTGCCACAAACCGCGAATCCAGAGTCCTTGAGGTTGCGTTCAAGTATCCCAACTCGGTGTTAGCTATTCCTGGGTCCAAAGTCGTCTTGGTCTATTCGGTCTTCCTTTGGTGAGTTTGCCTTCCTTTGCTTTCAATTTYGTTGTCCTTTCTGTTAGTATGTCCAGCCTTAGCTTAGATAGCCTTTTAGATGGGAGCGGTGAGTCCGCTAGGGCTGAGGTGAGAACCTCAGCACAGGCCGTAGAGCCTCATCCTATCGAGGTGGGCACTTCATCATAGGATGTGGACTCCAATCCGTCTGAGGTGGACTCACCTCGGCGAGAGCGAGAGGCCTCTGGTAGGTCGACCTCCACCTCACACCGAGGTCGCCTGCCGGACAACTTCGGTCCATCTACTATGACAGTGGATAGACTCCTATCTCTGGTAGCTAGCTTAGTACAAACTTCCTAGTGACCTCATATACAGTATTCCCTTAGGCAACTTTCCTTGGGATCACGGTCATGACGGGATCGTGGTCTTTGAGGAGCAGCTCGTAGCCGAGCTGCGTCTTCCACTCCACCCTTTCATAATTGAAGTCATTAAGTTCTTTGACATTGCCATAGACCAGCTACATTCGAACTCCATTCATAACATCGTAGGTACCATTGCCCTTTTCCACAACTACAGCCGACCTCTAGACCTCGACATCTTCTCTTTGATCCTTTCCATAAAAAAGAACGCGTCCTGTGTTTTACCCGAGCACAGAAAAAGTTACTATATGTCTCCTCGCCCCGGGTACAAGCTGTTGCACGAGCTCCCTAACAAGGTCCCGGCCTGGAAGAGACGCTACTTTGTGGTCCATAACACAGAGGGGTGGCCTTTATCGACTCACTGGAGGGTAGCCATCTAGGACCCCGACATCAGACCAGACCCGAAGACAAGGGAGGAGGTCCGATCTTGGGCGAAGCTCGGCCTGAAGTTTGTAAACTTCATGACCGAGAAGAAGCTCGTGCAAGCCGGTATGATCCCTCCTGGTAGGTCGCTAACTGTTGTACTTTTTTCCTGTTTGTTTTACTTTGGTGTTGTATCTAACTTAGTTCATCACTTGTCACGGTTTCCATGGATGACATCCCGGCCGACGAGCTCTTCGAGAGCATGTAGAAGGGAAAGAAGAAGAAGAGGGCCTTTAAGAAGGCTCGCCTCCATACCGAGACCACCACCTCTGAAGTCGTTGCCTCTGCCCCCGAACACCAACCCATTGCTGAACAGCCTCCCGTGATTGACTTAGTTGAGGAGGACCCAGGCAAGGCCACTCCACCCCGCGTGCCCAAGGAGACCACGTCTTCAGAGCCTTAGCCTATACCAACGACCACCACTTCGTCAGGCAGCGATACTTCAGTTTGGAGCATTTTGAATCCAAAGTTTGGCCTTCTCAAGAGCAAGGATGCGGTGTTTGCCGAGGAGATCGCTCATTGGGCTAACTTGTCGGTTGCTTAGCTCGGGGCCCGAACAGCCATGCACCATATGGTGGTACGTACTTAGCCTTCAAGTTACTTGATACTTAGATTTTTCTTCATACTAATACTTGTCTTCTTCCTTTGGTAGGTGAACTCCTCTATTCACGCCTTGGCCTACCAGTCCAAAGTGAATTTAAAGCAAGCTCTTGAAGCCGAGGAATCCTCCCGAAGTACCCACTCCAAGCTCAACTTAGCTCACAGCGTGATCAGCCAATTGAAAAATGACGCACGAGCTAAGAAGGAACTATTGACTATGCTGATGTCGGAGAAGAAGGAGCTCGAGGCAGAGAAGAAGCAGCTCGAGAAGCGCGAGGTGGCACTAAAGAGGGAGAATGAGAACCTCGAGGCTCTTGTGAAGGAGCATACTGAAATCCTGCTTTGGGTGATGGATGAGGCCAAGGTCAAGGCGGTCGAGGAGTATAAGTCTTCGGCGGAGCTTCGAGAGAGGTTGGTCGAGGCTAGGACAGCGGGCTACCGCAAGGGGTTTAAGCTCAGTAGGTGGTTGACCTGGTGTGAATTTTCCCACCTCGACCTCAGCGCCATCACCACTTCCAAGATCACCAAGGAGATGGCCATTGAAGCCGCCAAGGATCTGGAATTCGAGGCAGAGAGCGATGACAACCTTCTCAATGACAAGACGGCGGGAGAGGGAGAGGAGACCGATGCCGCCGAGGACCGTATGGAGACAAATCCGCCTGTTGAAGCCTCTGTTGGGGATGAGGAGCCTTGAACTGACTGATGCCTCTTTTCTTGGACCCCCCCTTTGTAAATACTTGATGTCTCGAGCCTCCAAGCTCGGCTAAACGGTTGTAATCTTCCTTCTTTTTTTTTTACTATGTACTTGAAGCATCTTATCAATGAAATACAATCATTTTGCAAAACTTTTTGTGTGCAAAATTTGTCTAAGTGTAGATCACTCCCGAACTCATGAGCTAGAACATATAGGAGCAAAATTTTTCTAAGTATAGATTATTCCCAAACTCAAATAGGAGTAGTCGTTATTGTATGTTGGAGTGAGCAGACACTGTAGGGTGTGCATGCCCGACCTGTCTGCACCCGATCTACTTTGCCTTACCTATGCCAAAGCGACTGGGTTTTAATGAGCCCGTGTTGAAGAGGTGACCGGGTCTTAAACAGTCTATGCCGAAGAGGCAACAAAGACTTCTCTACTCATGTCGGAGAGGCGACTAGGTCTTACACCGTGCTGAGGTCTTTTGTCAGCTCAACACTATAGCCCTTAGGCTTTTGGGAGTGACTTAAGGTCTTCTCTCTAGTTTGGTAGTCTTGTGGACTTGGTAAATTCTCAATTGCTCTAAAGTTGTGACTCATAGGTAGTATCTTCTTAGGTTGTTGACATTCTAGGCTTGAGGTACTTACTTCCCTTCCATGGTCTCAAGCTCATATGTGCCTTCCCTAAACACCCGTCTTACGCGTTACGAACCTTCCCAATTCGGTCCGAGCTTACCCACGTCGGGCTTTGGTACCATAACCTTCTGGAGGACTAGGTCGTCGACACAAAACTATCATTTCCTCACCCGGACGTTATAGTACCGAGCTAATCTTTGTTGTTAAGCCGTTGTCCGAATGTAGGCCAAGTCCCATACCTCTTCTACAGGTCCATCTTGGTATGAAGCTCGTCATTGTTTTCTTCCCCATCGTAAGCCTCGAGTCGCAATGTTGGCACTTCAATCTCTATTGGGATCACTGCCTCTGTACCATATGTGAGGTTGAAGGGTGTTTCATCAGTCGCGGTCTTGATGGTAGTTCGGTAGGCCCAAAGGACACTAGGCAACTCATCTACTCACAATCCCTTAGCTTAGGCCAGGCGAGCTTTCAGTCCATAAAGAATTGCACTGTTTGTTACTTCAGCTTGTCCGTTCGCTTGCGGGTGTGCCACCGATGTGAAACCTTGCTGGATTTCCATCTCGGCACACCAGTTCCAAAACTTGATGTTTTCGAACT